ATATATTAAAGGTGTTCTCCTATAGCTTCTTCCTAAAGCAGATATCAGGAATGGAAAACACCTAAAAAAAAACAATAGATCTGTATGTGTGAGCCCTGTGCATGATTAATATTGATGACATGACAACTGGATGTAAAAATGCTTAAAAGAAAGAGCTAAATTAGTGTATGCGTGTTTGAAGCATTATTTTTCAATGTCATCTCTTAGACATTGAAAAAAATTACTGCACTTAAAAATCATCTGTTTTCGACCATCTGAGGGTCTCAGCACAACAGCTTAAAATCCTTTTTATCCTGATTACAGTGGAAATTTCTACAACCTTAAAGGGTGCATTTTTTCTGTGGCTTTGTTTGTTTGCTTTGTTTCTCTTAAACATGTTGGCTACAGAAAAAAAAGAGAGGGTTTGAAATCTATTGCATTTTGTTATAAACTGTCATGCTGGGGCAAATTGCTCTGCTGTCATTGCTATGTTTAGAACATTCACTTTGAACAGTGACAAATGCAGTACACTTGTCAAGTCACAGTATACTTTTCCTTAGGTCAAAATATATAACTTTAATTCTTAGGTGAGGTTTGGGGGGAAAAACAGGTATTTAGGTCAGTAGTTGAACTGAAATGTCTATTTTATTATTTGTTAAAATTCATTGGTTTTCTGTAGACTGTTAATTTTCCATCAACCATTAATTGACAAAAAGTTTATATTTCAATCTGTGTGGTCAAATTAGTGCTCAAATGCAAGTCCATAATGAATTTCTGAGGTCTGTTGAAAATAAAAGTATTTTTAAATGCCATCTTATGCAGTGCGATTCACTTGACGATGGAAGATGGAATAGAAACGTTTATGTGTGAAGAGGGAAAGATGTGGAAATCTGGATTGATATGATCTAATTCCAGAGATTTACTGGAGGCCGTTTGTCAGGAATCCAATGTCTTGGTTTTTGAAAGCTACCAATCAAAACGGAAAGTATAAAAAGCATTTAATTTAGTACTGAAGGGAAAAAGATTGCGGCTAAATATTTCAGTGTTTTTTTTTCCTGTAACTCTTAAGGCGAACAAAGTATCTGAGGGTTGTTTGGCAGACAGTTCCAAACCCAGGCCCTTATTTTTTATCTTCTTCATTATCTGTCCAACAATACCTCTGCTGTTCATTGACTCAAATAAATACCGTACTACCTTTACGGGCTCTTCACATGATAATGCCAATTGTAACGTTTTTGATTAATAGCCTCTGATTATCCTGTTCTTGTCATATTGACTGAGGTAATGCATTGGCAAGCTCATGCTGATTAAATTGGAAGTCCAGAGCAGTTTGGTGGAGCAAGCTCATTATAGGCAATCTATCTGTAATGCTGGACAGGTCGAAAAAGAAATCAGTCTTGTCAGTCTTTTATCAGGAGCTTTTTTTAAAAAAAAAATTAATATATCTGTTCTGAAAAGCAGAGTCTCTTTAGTCGTTTTTGTTTGCTAAAAAGCTTACAATAATTACTTCTAAACGACCTTGGTCATAAACAGCTAGGAAATAGAATTTCGTCAGCCAGCCTCTCCACATACTTACTCAATAAACTGAACGGCCCGATGCACAGAACTGAAACAACGCGTGGGGCGCAGTCAACCGTTATCGTCAACCCCTGTCACTCCCTTTCGATAGAGGTCCCTTTCTCTTTATTATTCGAGACGACAATTTTAAATTGCCCAAAGTCTACCATTCGATCGCGTGGTAGCACAAAGGTAGACACGCTGCAACTTTCTGTCTCGCTTCTCTTGTTGTTGGTGGGCTTTTTTTTTCGCCATCCCTCTCCTCAGCCTCTCCCATGCTCTGACCCTGAAATTCACAGTTCCAGAACTGCCTGGGAATCTCACACCCAAGGCGACAGAGCAACACTGACACGGCCCGTTCTGTCACATTTCCAAAGCGTTTGCTGATCAAGAAACTTTCGGAGCCCACTGGCAAATGAGAGAAAGCACTTGATCTGCACAGAATACGACTTATTTTGCAACCAGTAAGCACACAGATAAAAAATGACAGTGTTTGTTGTTGCCGTCTCTTTTTTTGTTGTGCTTGTATACAGTACTTCCTATACGTGTAGTTTGAGTACAAATAAACGGAATATGCTTTAAGTGGCATTAGTGGTTTCATGAGCTCGTACATGAAATGTCCTAAAATATATAGTTAACAAAACACTTTTACATAGTGATTCAACTAAACAAAAGGTCTCTCTTTTTTAGTGGGGACACCCTACTACATGTCTCCAGAGAGAATCCATGAAAACGGATATAACTTCAAATCGGACATATGGTCTTTGGGATGCTTGCTATACGAGGTAAGAGGACCCTGAATAAATCTTTTCTTATGGTGTTGCAAAATGTGTGTATGTGGGTTGTTTTTTTTTTTTTTTTTACCTGTGGCAACATTTAATAGGAATGTGAGAGCTGTAGTTAACTTCTCTTTAGTGTAGGTCCGGGTTTGATTAAGTGGTTGTCTATTTTGTTCTGGTCATTAAAGTGGCATTGCAAATGTCTGTAAATATGTGCAATTACATGACATATTCTGAGCTTCTCGTAGTCTGCCTCTCATTGTATAATGAGTGTTGGTAACTTTCCATCTTTCACTTCTGGAGGACGGTATGTGCAGAACCTATATTAAATGAGCAGCTACTCAGATTTACTCGCGGCCTTAAAGTTGAACAAATGTAGAAACCAGCCATGCATGGCTTTGCTCCCCTTAATGGATAAATCATTCAAAAAACATATTTGTTCTGCTTTTGAATTCTGTTTTCTATGTGGTAGCATTGAAAAGTCAGGAAACGTCAAGCAAAACTAGGCTGTGGGACAGAACGGCAAGGTTTGTCTTTCTTCACTGTAAAATAGATTCTGCAACATCCTCGAAGAGAAAGTTGCCTGTTCCAATATAAAGTGCTGCAGACAGTGAAGAGAGCATTGTCTAACTGTAATGGCCGCCAAGTGTATTCTCCTTTTATTTAGGAAGGTGTGTAACTGTTGAGGGTTTGAGCTTGCTGATGAATAAACTTGCAGTCCTTGCGTAATAAATGACATTTGTCTGTCTGAATGCAATTGCTGCTTTCTTTTGATTGCTGTAAAAGGCTTAGAAAGAACACATTAACAAAGGATTGGTTGTTCTCTGAACTCTGCCCTGTACAGTTGACTGATTCCTTTCGATAAATCTGTTACAGATATTTATAGGAATGGTGCTTCATCAGTGTGATGGCAGTCAGATACAGTACATCCTTCATATATTAGGGATTTTGTACAACTAAGAAACATTTGTGTTCATGAATCATGTCAGGTCAGGTCAGGGTATACTGAATTTAAAACCTTTCAGGTTTACATGTAACTACAGTATGTATTTATTGAAAGCTGCATATCTATTTCCCATATAACATAGTCCTAAGTACATATATCAGGTTACATACATACCCTTCCCATTTGTAGAATTTCCTAGTAGAAATAGAATGTTTTGGGATTCTATCACACTTAGACATCAATGCCCATAGTAGCTTGCAAAAGTGGAGGCAATAAATTATTCAGGGATACAGTTATATTGCTGAATGTGGGAAAAACAAGAAGAAAGAAGAATGTTGTTCTTCCCTTGGCCTGTCTTCATATAGTGTTTCCAAACCTTTGAACGGTACTGTATATAAATTATATAAGTGCTTCAGGGTGTGAGATGACAAGGAAGATATTTCAAGATTATTCAATACCCTTTACCTTGTGCCTCACAATTAAAGACCAACATGTTCAGAATCAATTTTACAGAGAGCAGACTACACCCTCAGGTCTTAAACTACCGATGCACACAAGGTACTTTAAATTTCCAACTAAATATCCAACGTAGGTTTTTAAGACACATATTTTATTTTCCTTAAGAGTGTGACAAATATCACAAGGAAGGGAAAACAGGTCGGGTCATAATCCACACTTCTTCTCCCCACAAGCGGATGTGCTTGAAAAAACTGTATGACGAATGGGGCCTTAGATGTTTGAGGATTGTTTAAAGATTGAAGGAATTTCAGATTGAAGTAAATCAAAGTAGAACCACAAGGATAGGGCTGTCTCTCTGTGGCAGCCTGACTTCACTTCTCACTGGGAGTGTTTTCCCTACAAAATACAATGCAATTTATAATCACCATTGTAGTCAATATTATAATCCTTCCTTATTAGAGCTCACTAATAATTTCAGTTAGCTCAACCTGATGTTTTTAATATCTCACTGCAATTTTGTCTACACTCCTACACCACACTCCTTTTTTAACGTTTAAATGGCAATTTGAGGCTCTGCAGCAGGTTCATTTTTGAAGATTTTGGGACAGTGAGTTTTTTCTTCTGCTGTTTTTAGGTTCTACAGTTGGGAGTTACAAATGTATATTTTGAACAGATATTTTGGTGACGGGTTAATGCCCAGTTTCTCCCCCCTAAAACTGCATCTAGCGAAGTCCTCTGTTTTGAATTTGTTTTAGTTGTCCCGCAGAATTGTTTTTCCCAAGATATGCATTTGCAGTAGGTGAAATTGAAGACGGAAGTCAAGTTGGACAATTTTGCATTGGACAATGCGAGCAAACCAGACCAGAGAAGCGAGTATTGATAGTTCTTCTGCATTCAGAAAGACTTCTAAAAGGAAATTCTGCATTCAGTGGGCTAAGGACTGGTTTGTAGTTGGTACTGTAGGTAATTTGTGCCACAGTGGCTCATCAGGCCAGAGCCAGAGTGGTCTCCATGGCGTTGAGCAAACAGAGAGTACAGTATGTCACTCACCCCTCCCCACCGGATGGGATGCGAGTCTGAGGAGCCTACTCCCAGGAAATGATGGTGCCCATTCATACAGTTGGGCGGACTAGAGCAACTCACTCAAGGTACACCAGAAGTGTCTGCAGCCCCACACTAAGTATAGAGGGAAATATAATGAATGATTACATTTTTATTTAATGCCACCTGGTCTATAAGGAAAAAAGTGAAGCAGTATTGAAAGTTTTAAAAAAATGAAATTTGATTTGCTTGTTTCCAGGTGTTATTTTTCCCTCTGCTACTTGAAGTTTTCTTTCTCCAGGAACGAAAGAAGCAACTTTTTATCTTGAGGGATGTGCTGTGGATGTCGTCCCTGTCAGTGTTTGAAGTTATGGGTGAATTGCCAGGCAGGGGCTGTCTTTACTTTGAGAGCTCCCTGACACACGCATTCGCAGTTAGAGATGGCTGCAGCATGTTGTGCTCGCAGCAAGGAGAATTGGATTGCCAGTCAGCTGTTTCTTCTCAACCCAAACTCCCATCCTTAGTAACTAAATAACAATTTAATTCTGTTAACAGAGAGCTTTTAGTGTATCGGTGCACTCAGCTCAACTCTGTGAATTGGTTCTGATTTATGTGTTGACAGGGTATGAAAGCTCCTTCTGTTTTCTGTTTAAGGAAGAAATATTACTGCTGGGAGCTAAATAAAAAATCAATGAGAAAGAGCCTCGCTGGTGTCCAAGTGTTAAAGCTCTGCTTGAGTTTAACAACCTTTTTACTCACTGTTGGCTGAGGCAGGGGAAATAGGCATTGATTTTTTTTCGTTATTTGAATAAATACCTGCCCAGTATATGTAACAGTTTTCCACTGTAAGGAAACACCATCAACTTTTCCTGTTTCTGTAGGCAGTTTCTACCTTATACAAGCAGCACCATTAATTTTTCAAGCCAGTCCGTCAGCACTGATATGTGCTCTTGTTTTATTAACAGCCATCACTTCAGATAAATAATGGAGGATATTTTGTTTTTCCCAGCTGTTAGTATTTTAACCCACAGCAGGTAGACACAGAGAAAAATCACCTATAGGTTGTGTTTTGACCTTACAATGTGCTAAAACTGTTATATTCATGTCACAGAATGAGAAGGAGGTTGTGAAGGCACACCAAATGTTACCTGGAGATAAGTGGGTTTTGAGAAGATGAATGAAAAGAAGCAACCTTTGAAAAGAATTTAGATCTCAATATTGATGCATGACTGTCCTCACGTAGACAGTATGTATGATGAAGGCATAAAAAAGGTTTGCGCAATGTTTGAATTACAGTACGAGGCGTCAAATTTAAAATAAAAGAAGCAATTTTAAAAGTACAGAATGTGTACAGTACCCAGACTATATTAAGAATGCTGCACACCGTCTTGGTGGCTAAGCTGAAAAGGATATTCCTGGTCTGTAAATGTTCAAATGAACAAATAAATCAATCATTGGACTGAAGGTTATTGAAGGAGGTGAGGTCTACTTTGACAGATTAAATGAATTGGTTTGAACAGAAGCGATCACATGGGATTTGATCCAGATCTGCAGAATTCTGAAATGTATTGACAAAGTCAACCCAAAAAGACTGAGACCCCAATGTCAGTCTCAGCATAGAAACAACAGTTAGGATGCTTAAAATGTGAAAATTAGGTGCAAGCACATTCCAGACTGGGAATAAGAGACACTTCTTTGTATTGATAGTTTGTCCGAAACAAACAGCCACATTTGCCTAGAGCGATCTACGGTAGCTATGTTGTTGAATCCTAAATGCAAATCTCTTAGTAAAAATCAGCCAAATCAGTAAGCTATTAACAACTAAACACTACATAGTAGTCCAGACGGCACCCAACAAACTCCTTGTTTATTATTTGAAGATTTTTTTAAATCGTAAAAAAAATTGACTGTTTAAAGTGATCAATTCTCATTATAAATTCAGTTTCAGCTTATTTTCACTGTTCAGAAATTAAATTATGCTAATAAATATCGCTAACGAATCTGTGGATTCTTTCAATAGTGCATTTGGGCTCCTTAGTGCTACATACAGTACTCCCTTGCAGGTGTGCAATGCGTCAGTAACATATAAAGATAAGAAAGATATGAAATGGTTCTAAAATTCAGACTGCTGGAGATAAAGGGTGAATAGCTCAGATACAACATAATAAGTTCTGCTTAACTCCTACTACCCCATCTGTCGTTTTTTTTTCCAAAGTACATATCCCGGACTAGCGTTTATAAAGGTGCTGAGCGGTACTGATGTTCACACTCAGAGCACCCCATGAACTGACTTTGCAGGAAGTACAGTTCCTGTGAATCCAAAGAGTGCAGCCTTGTCCTTTAATATTGCTCAGAGGCATTTGTATCTGCTCCAGAAAGTAGGATGTTGTTTAGTTTATAGCTGAGGCACAAGACTGGAGCCAGGATTACTGAGTAGGTGAGAAAAGTCACAAATGGCATGTTACGTGTTAAAGTTGCCATCTGTCAGCGGTAGTTTCCAGTGGCATGCCGTGCTAAACTGGCACGTCTCCTAAGAAGTCAGGTGAACGCCGAGTTGAAA